CAAAAAAAAAAAAAAAAAAAGAAATCCACTGAATCTTTGGATACTGCTGAACCTTATGTACTATAAAGTCAAAGAAACAGAAATATAATATTCAAAGAACCAATCATATGACTTGCTTTAAGTAACATCAACATACTAGGACATATATTATCTGTAAATATATGATCTGAAACTTGTATTATACATTATCAGAATGAAATACTGACTGAAGAACTTTCTGTGCCCAGGCTTGTCACTCATACTGGCAAACTAAGCATGTTGGTAGGTCAAGATGGGAGGGTTGTTTAATGTCAGAAGGTCAACCCCATCCTGGGAACATCACAAGACCCCCTCTCTATACACAGAAAAAACAAGTAGCCAGGCGTGGGGATGTGCAACTGCACTCTCAGCTATGTGAGTGGCTGGGGCGGGAAATGACTTGAGCACAGGAATTGGAAGGTAGAGTGAGTGAGATGAGACCACCATACCCTTGTCTGGGTAACAGAGATCCTGACTGTGAGAGGGAAAAAGGAAAAAAAGAATTTCTACAGGAACATCCCAGTCCCTGTGGAAAGGAAACACTGACAATGATTGAACTAATCTCCTGCTCTCAGACATTTATGTTGATTCCATGTTTTAAAATAGATTATGCAATAAAACACTCTGTATCACTGATGTGTATCTATCCATACTATTTCTGGTCATAAATACTTTGGTATTAGTAACACAATTATTCAACTTTTAGCTTGAAATGAAAATCAGGCAGAAAAGATTTCCCCTAAGAAGACACCCTACAGGCGGCGCCTGTGGCTCAAAAGGGTAGGGCACCGCCCCCATATGCCGGAGGTGGCGGGTTCAAACCTAGCCCTGGCCCAAAAAAACCCCAAAAAACATTAGGCTCGGCGCCTGTAGCTCAAGTGGGTAAGGTGCCAGCCACGTACACCCAAGGTTGGGGGTTTGAATCCAGCCCAGGTCCACCAAACAACGATGGCTGCAACCAAAAAATAGCTGGGCATTGTGGCGGGCGCCTGTGGTCCCAGCTACTCGGGAGGCTGAGACAGGAGACTTGCTTGAGCCCAGGAGTTGGAGGTTGCTGTGAGCTGTGATGCCACGGCACTCTACCCAGGGGGACAGCTTGAGGTTCCTGTCTAAAAAAAAAAAAAAAAGACACCCTTTCCAGAATGGACCATGTTACCCCACGACTGCCACATGCAGCTGGTCTAATCCTTCTCTACAGAGTCCTGGCAGTACACCCAGATGTGGCCCCTGAACAGTCCCTGCTGCCCTATAGCACTGACACCACAAGGCCACACCCCATCTCTAACCTAGGGCTGGGGGTGAAGGCTTTCCTGGGTCTGTGCCCAATGGAACCTTGTCCCAAGGTCATGTCACTAGGTCACAGTGACATGGCATCAAAGTGAAAATAACAAGAACTGAAAGAAGGCATGGGGGAGTAGGAACAAACATGTCACTCAGAACAGCTCGGTATCAGAGGAGATTAGCAACTCCAATGCCAGCATTTGAGAAAGAAAAAAGACACACAACAATCCACTGAGAATATCATTGTACCTGAGTAAGAGCCATTCCAGACTCCTCTTCTTTCCTCTTCTTCACCAAACATGAATCTTCAAAAGTCAATCCTGATTGTAAAAAAATATGGTATTTAATGCTGAGAATCAACACATCCCATTCCTGTGCCAGGATGCCATGGAAAGGAAAGACTTGTCATGTAACAAGATGGTTCTCCCCTGTCCATAACATCAGGGTGATGTACAGACAAAACACTCACATAAGAAGATGAACTAGTGGTTCTCTATCCCCTTCCTCAGACCCCCCCACCCCACATACTGCACCAGTGGGGAGCAGGGCTACACTGAGCTTCCTCCAAGGCACAGCCCCAAACCTGAGGCAGAGCACAGCCCCTGACCCCTCTGTGATCACAGACTGACCTCAGCCCTCAGCAGTGGAGGACACAGAGCCTTGGTGCTCAGTGCTGATCACAACAGGACATATTTGGTTACTGGAACCATTACTGAGGGTGGGTCCCCTCCTGACAGTGTGAATGGGAAGGGGTCAGGAGAGATGTATTTGAAAAAAGCCTCCACACTCTAATGTGATGCCAGGCCTGAGCTCCACTCAGAGGGGCAAGGCCAGGACCCCTCCCACCTCCTGTCTCTGCTTTACCCTTGGAGACTTGTCACCAGCATTCTGACAGCGAATGGCAAGGGACCCAAAAGAAACACACAGGTCAGCCAATATGGTCCATACAGTGGGGGGGAGAATGAATGGGTGGCTGCTCTGTCAAACAAGGGGCAGGAGTCACAGAAGTCCCCTTTAAGAAGGTGGTATCTGGGCTTGGCGCCTGTGGCTCAAGCAGCTAAGGCACCAGCCACATATACCTAAGGTGGCGGGTTCAAATCCAGCCCGGGCCGCCAAACAACAATGATGGCTGCAACCAAAAAATGGCTGGGCGTTGTGGCGGGCGCCTGTAGTCCCAGCTACTTGGGAGGCTGAGGCAGGAGACTCGCTTGAGCCCAGGAGTTGGAGGTTGCTGTGAGCGTGATGCCATGGCACTCTACCCAGGGGGATAGCTTGAGGCCCCGTCTCAAAAAAAAAAAGAAGGTGGTATCTGATAAAAAAAAACCTGAGGGGAAGGAAGGGTACTCTTATTTGCAGCCAAGAGCCAGATGTCTAGAAAGAGACATCCAGTGTAACCATCCTCAGGTAGGAGCAACCTGGGGAAAAGAGAGGATCCTGTGGGTGAAGCAGAGGTAGTGATCAGGTCACGAGGCAATGAGGGCCGAGAGGTCCTGCCCCCAGGCTACACACTTATATCTATTGTGTCTCAAGAGAAGTGACAAAATAATGCATTTCCCCAAATGTTTTAAATAACCATGTGATTTTTTTTCTTTATTTCATACAAGAATGCACTTTAAGACCAGGTGAGGTGGCTCAGGCCTGTACTTCTACCATTCTGGAGTTTGATGGGGGAGGATTACTTGAGCTCAGGAGTTTGAAAACACTGTGCAAAAGAGTGAAACCCCATCTCTACTAAAAACAGAAAAATTAACTCGCTCTGGTGATTGGCACCTGTTGTCTGAGCTACTTGGAAGGGTGAGGCAAAAGCACTGGTTGGATCCAGGAGTTTGAGGCTGCTGTGAGCTATGATGTTATGGCACTCTACTCAGGGTAACAGAGTGAGACCCTGTCTCAAAATGAAAACGAAAAGCAAAACAAACAACAAAAAAATTTACTTAAGATATAATATCTTTCTTTTTCTTTTTGAGACAGGAGCCTCAAGCTGTCCCCCTGGGTAGAGTGCTGTGGCATCTCAGCTCACAGCAACCTCCAACTCCTGGGCTCAAGCGAGTCTTCTGCCTCTGCCTCCCAAGTAGCTGGGACCACAGGCGCCCACCACAACGCCCGGCTATTTTTTGGTTGCAGCCGTCGTTATCGTTTGGCGGGCCCGGGCTGGATTCGAACCCGCCACCTTGGGTGTACGTGGCTGGCGCCTTAGCCACCTGAGCCACAGGCGCCGAGCCAAGATATAATATCTTACATATTTTAAATTATGTGAAAAGAAGTTCCACTAAGTCCCAAGAAGTACAGGGTCATCCTACTCGAAGATGTGAAGACTGCAGGGGAACGTTTGAGAGTTGAGAAAGTATCTTTAGGACACACAAATGTGAAGACGCCTTTTAAATGGCCAGGCAGATATGTAAAGAGACAACAGAAAGGATCCTGGAATTGAGGGGAGAGGGCTGCTGGGGCAATGGAGCCATGTCAGAGGTGTTCAAACCATGAGATGAGAAGATAAGGAAGGGCAGTGGGTATGGACAGAGATGACAAGTAGTTCAAGGACTAAATCATGGGACACCCCCACAGTCAGAGAATACAGTTCTGGACACAACAGAGAGGAAACTGTTAAGAGATGAAGGTGACAAAATCCAAAGGAAAGCCATTTCCAAAGTTTAGAGATATGTTGTCAAAGCCAAGAAAGAAGAAAAGATCAGTTGTGCAAGAAGCTGCTCACAGGAAAAAAAGGATGAAGACAGGAAGTGAAAAATTGGATTAAGAAATGTTGAGGTGAGGCCAGGCATGGTGGCTCACGCCTATAAACCTACTGCTCTGGGAGGCCAAGGTGTGTGGATTGCCCTGAGCTCACAGGTTTGAGACCAGCCTGCGCAAGAGTGAGACCTCATCTCTAAAAATAGCTGGGCATTGTGGTGGGTGCCTATAGTCTCAGCTACTTGGGAGGCTGAGGCAAGAGAATCACTTGAGTATAAGAGCTGGAGTTTATTAGAGCTATGATGCCACAGCACTCTATCCAGGGTGACACAGTGAGGCACTGTATCAAAAAAAAAAAAAAAAGAAAGAAAGAAAGAAATGTTGAGGTCACTGTGACTGAAGAAGAAAGATCAGTGGATGATGGGAGCAAGCTTGACTGGAAGGGGTAAGTCAAGAATTGAAGGTGACTGGGTGTGGTGGGTGGCTCACGCCTATAATCCTAACACTCTGGGAGGCTGAGGCCAGTGGATTGCCCGAGCTTAAGGGTTAGAGACCAGCCTGAGCAAGAGACCACTTATCTACTGAAAATACAAAGAAAAAAAAAATTAAACAATTAGCAATGTGTGGTGGCAGGCTCCTGTAGTACCAGTTACTAGGGAGGCTGAGAAAGAGGATTGCTTTAGCCAAGAGTTTGAGGTTGCAGTGAGCTACTGTCACAGGCACTTTATGTAGGGTGACAGAGTCTCTGTCATAAATAAATAAAGAATTGAAGGTAATAATTAAAGACATATGACATAAAGAAGATTTTAGTGTTAAATGGAGCACAAAATAAGGGAAGTTAATATGGTGTATTTTGTTTGAAGGATAGAAGATTGGAAGGAAAATAAAAACTTTGTTGTGTGTAAGAGAGTGTCTTTTTTTTTTTTTTTTTAGACAGTCTCAGTATGTCGCCCTGGATACAGTGCCGGGGGTCACAGCTCTCAGCAACCTCAAACTCTTAGGCCTAAGCGATTCTCTTCCTCAGCTTCCCAAGCAGCTGGGACTACAGGAGCCTGCCACAATGCCCGGCTATTTTTTGGTTGCAGTTGTCACTGTTGTTCAGCATGCCTGGGCCGGGCTGGAACCCTCCAGCCTGGGTGTATGTGGCCAGCACCCTACTCACTGAGCTATGGGCGCCAACCTGACAGAGTGTGTCTTTGAGTTTTAACTGACAATATGACTGTAGAAGTACACTAACCAGGCTTGGCTCCCGGTAGCACAGTGGTTACGGTGCCAGCCACATACACCAAGGATGCTGGGTCTGAACCTGGCCTGGGCCAGCTAAACAATGACAACTGCAACAAAAAATAGCTGGGCGTTGTGGTGGGCGCCTGTAGTCCCAACTACTTGGGAGGCTGAGGCAAGAGAATCAATCGCTTAAGCCCAAGAGTTAGAGGTTGCTGTGAGCTGTGATGCGACAGCACTCTACTGAGGGTGACATAGTGAGACTGTCTCAAAAAAAGTACACTAACCAACAAAGTTTCCTAGAAGTAAAAATTGGGTGACAACGAGGAAGAATGCCACTGTCCCACGAGTGCGGGTTGGGCTGGCATATGGTGCAAAACTGCAGGGCCATGAGAGCCAGGAGCAGAGACAAACCATTCCCAGTCACAGGCCCTGAGATGGTGGGTGCCCCACAGGACCCCAATTTCTACACGAGCATAATTTATAAATTAACTTTTGCCCACCGAGCCCGGGCACCACACGGTCTTGACACATTTCAAACACACATTCCACCTCCCCCAACCCCTGTCTGCAGGATAGGAAAAGCGGCACTTGAACCCGGGACAGAAGGGAGGGGCCACCAGCTCAGGGCTTATGCTCCAGAGCGCCCGAGGCCTCCTCTTCCTTCTCTTCTCCTCTGTCAATAAAACCCCCTTTCCGCTGACTCGTGGGGGTCCGAGGATTCGTACTCGAAATCGCCAAGACGAAGAACCCAGCAGGGGGATACCAGTTACAGCAGAACCACCCTGGTTTGCTCTCCTAATCCGTACCGGAAGGAGAGGAGGCCTGAGATGTAAAGAAGGACTGATCCGCCCAGGGGTACGGTGAGCGGACCGGGAGTGGTGAGCGGACGGCTTAGAGCACCAGTGGGGCCTGCAGAGCCCCAGGACCCGGGAGAGGATGCAGCGCTGCTGCCCTCCAGAGAGGAATCGGGAGGACCTGGGGGCCAGGAAGGGCATGAACCCCTCTCGCGGGTGAGAACTTCAGGAGGTGCGGAGGGAGTGCAGGGGTCACTGAGGGGCTTTAGGGAGGGACAAGGTGAGAAAGGCGGTGTTTCCTCTGCTCTGTGGCAGAAAGATCGAGGACAGGACCTGCCTCAGGGCGACTCAGATCACAGGAAAGCGACCCCAGATTCTCACTGGAACGTGAATTTACTAGGTGCAGAAGGAGCTATGCAGGGATTTAAGGTCTCTACAGATCCGATCCTGGGTATAGAAGCCCAGGGGACAACAGAGAGAAAAGCTAAGCAGAAAGAGAGAAACTCACCAGCCCCAGGTCGCCTTCTTTTCACGCCAGCAGTTTCCGGGTCTGCAAGAATCTGCGCGCGCTAGAGGCCGGGGCGGGGCGGGGCGGAGCGGGGCGGAGCACGGTGTTGGGCGGGACACAGGCTAGGGGCGGCGCTTACACTTAGCTGGGCCTCGCCCCTTGGTGCCCAGTTTCTTGGGTTTATGGGACAAAACCTAACCAATGAGGCTGGAGCAACTCAAGAGTCAAGGAACTGTAATCTGGCAGGTAGCATCAACATCCGCTGATGATTAAATCCAGGAACGTTCCTGAAATTAAAATTAAGTTCTGCAATTACGTGAAACGCCCCAGGAATGTCTGTAAAGGAGAGGCAAACTACACCACTGTGAATTGCAAACCCGTTCCTGGGCTGAATGTGCAGTTTCAGGCTGATGCCCAGCAGAACACACTAGAAATCCTTTGCGTTTCTATTCCCCTCTACTGCCGGTTCACACGGAGGAGAGGACTTCAAACTGGAACTCCGTCTCTGAGACTTTCAGGGCAGTGGAGTGTTAAGTCCAGTGCAAGGTGATCACCTACGGTTGCTTTGAAAAAAGCTGTAACTCTCTCTCTCTTTTTTTTTTTTTTTTTAAAGACAGAATCATTATATAGCCCTCGGTAGAGTGCTGTGGCATCGCAGCTTACAGCAACCTCAAACTCTTGGGCTTAAGCCCTTTTGAATGTAGATGGGAATTACATATGTGCTCTTCACAGTAGTTATTCTCTTATACTCTTGAGATTATGTACCTTTAAGATAAACTTTGTTGGCTTCATAGGAGGCTCACATCAGTTATGTTTTAAATGTACCACAAATTTGAGTGAATGTATAAGTTCAGTATGATGATAATTAGAAAATACACTTATATTTAAAAATTGTTACATATGTATATAACATTTGTTATATGTATATACCTATTGTTGTATATATATATGTAAATGCATATTTTTTTTTTCTTGAGAGTCTTAATCTGTCATGCTGCATAGATTGCCTATGGTACAGCTACCTCAAACTCTTGAGCTCAAGAGCTCAAGAGATCCTCTTGGCTCAGACTTCCAAGTAACTGGGACAACAGACTAGCTTCATAACTCTATCTAGTTTTTTGGCTTTTTGTAAAGATAGTATCTTTATTTTTGGGGGGGACACAGTCTCACTTTGTCAGCCTCAGAAGAGTGCCATGCTGTCATAGCTCACAGTAACCTCAAACTACTGGGCTCAAGTGATTCTCTTGCCTCAGCCTCCCAAGTAGCTGGGACCTGCCACAATACCTGGCTATTTTTAGAGATGGGGTCTCACTCTTGCTCAGGCTGGTCTGGAACCCGTGAGCTCAGGCAATCCCAGAGTGCTCAGATTACAGGTGTAAGCCACCATGCCCAGCCTCAGTATCTCACTCTTGCTCAGGCTGGTCTTGAACTCCTGAGCTCAAGTAGCTCAAGCCTGATGTAATCCACAGTGGATTGAGCCACTGTGTCCAGTAAATTGTTATATATTTTATGTCTTGTCTTTTTCTTTCTTTTTTGAGACAGTTTTATTATGTTGCCCTCGGTAGACTGCTGTGACGTCACAGCTCACAGCAACCTCTGTCTCTCTTGGGCTTAAGTGATTCTCTTGCCTCAGCCTCCCAAGTAGCTGGGACTACAGGCACCCGCCACAATGCCCAGCTATTTTTTGGTTGTAGTTGTCATTGTTTGGTAGACCCTGGGCTGGGTTCGAACCCACTAGCTCTGGTGTATGTGGTTGGCACCCTAGCAGCTAAGCTACCGGCACCGAGCCACTTCTTTTTCTTTTTGTTTTTTGAGACAGAACCTCAAGCTGTCCCCCTGGGTAGAGTGCAGTAGCATCACAGCTCACAGCAACCTCCAACTCCTGGGCTCAAGCGATTCTTCTGCCTCCGCCTCCCAAGTAGCTGGGACTACAGGTGCCTACCTCAACGCCGGGCTATTTTTTGGTTGTAGCTGTGATTGTCCTTTGGCGGGCCCCGGCTGGATTCAAAACCACCAGCTCAGGTGTATGTGGCCACCACTTCTTTTTTTTTCTTTGGATCATTAGGGTTTATTAGAATGTGCCTTAATACAGGCGCTGGGGCTTGCCCATGGTGCTCTTAATGTATAAAGCCCGGACATTCTGCCAATTTTTCTGAAGCAAGGACACCAAGAAGTTAACAGCCAGGTGGATGTTATACACCAGCTCATCATCTGTCATCTTCACATGGCCAGACAAAGAACCTTCTTCATCTGGAACTTGATTGTGGACTTCACCTCATCAACTTTGGCTGCCATATTTTCATTGTGGGTCAGCAGGGAAGGAAATTTGCCAGCCTTATTTAGACCAGGGCCAAGGATTCGTGGGATCTGCTTGATAAGAGACTCTGAGGCCAAAAAGGCATCATACTTCTTGGCCAGCTTCTTGACCAGCTTCTTGTTTTTGTTCAGTTTCTTCAGCGCCTTGATGTCCATGTGGGGTATGTCCACGGCCTTGGCCTCGTCACAGTGCTGCTGGTCCCCCAGGACACACACTGAGAACTTAGGACGGGGAGTGGACTTAAGCCTGACGGTGCCAGAGAAGCGTTTGTCCTTCTGAGGATCATAGTTCTTCAAACTGATCTGCAGCTCCACCGTTTCCAAAAACTTCCGGCGCTTTCGCTGGTTTCTGTGCAGGACTTCTCGCACCGCCTCGTACAACGTGTCGCGGGAGACTTTGCTGCTCGTGGCTGCTCGCGCCGCGATAACCAGAAAAGAGCACCACTTCTTTTTCTAAGTAATTTTGGATGAAATAAAACTTAGTGCCAGTTTTCCCAGCATAACCCCGAAGACATCTTGCTTTCCTGAAAGACTGTCAAAAACAAATTAAGAATAATCAGCTGGACCAAATATGGTTTACTCTAATCCCAGCTATCTGGGAGGTAGAGAGAATAAGATAGCTGGAGGCTGTGAATTATGGGGAAGGGGGAAAGGGGCTATGATCACACCAGTGCACTTCACTTTGCATTACAGTCTCCATAAAAATAGTAACAGAAATTAATCTCCCAAGGTAGTGTCCATTCTTTCCAGAAAATGGCATAAAAATGATTCTCAGCGATCAATTGAGACCTATCATTCTACTGATTCTTTCCCAGACACCACAGTGCAATGCTGGCAAGGATGGTATATGAAGCCATGTCAAAATTAAGGGTGAGAGTCAGAAAAAGTAGCCTTTTCAAAGAACCTGAAATAATGAAACATTCTATAACCTAAATATTATCAACCATGGCCATATGTCCTTTCATGTTTGATATGTGCCATGTCATGCCAGTCAATGTATTTTGATTTATAGCTACTCTCCCCTCATAACATCAGACATTAAATATTGGAGAGAACTGGAGATTGATTTATTTCTTGTGTAAACTCTGATATTACACAGTAATGGTCCTTGAGTATTAGTCACATGACAAACATTTCATTTGGGTGTTTCAAGGAACATGTACTTTTTTTTTTTTTTCTGAGACATAGTCTATTTCACCCTCGGTAGAATGCTGTGGCATGGCAGCTCACAGCAACCTCAAACTCTTGGGCTTAAGTGATTCTCTTGCTTCAGCCTCCCGAGCAGCTGGGACTACAGGCGCCCACCATAGTGCCCGGCTATTTTGTTGTTGTTGTAGTCATCATTGTGGTTTGGCAGGACTGGGCTGGATTTGAACCCACCAGCCTCGGTGTTTGTGGCCAGCACTGTAACCACTGTGCTGCAGCACCAAACCAGGAACATGTACCTTTAGATGCGTAGTGAGGAGTGGTCAGGCCTGGATAAAGCCCCAGCCACATACACTGCATTTATTTGATTTCTCTTTGGTATGGACTCCATAATGCTGATTGATGATGAAACTTATCGTGAAGAGATGCCACCCTTAATGAGTCTACAGAGTTTCTCACAAATGAATTCTTTGATGTTGGCTCAGCACCTAAAGCTCAGTGGTTAGGGCGCTGGCCACATACACCAGGGATGGTAGGTTCCTACCCGGCCTGGGCCTGCTGAACAACGACAACTACAGTAAAAAAATAGCCATTGTGGCAGGCAGCTGTAGTCCCAGCTACTTGGCAGGCTGAGGCAAGAGAATTGCTTAAGCCCAAGAGTTTGAGGTTGCTATGAGCTGTGACACCACAGCACCCTATTGAGGATGACACAGTAAAATTCTGTCTCAAAAGAAAAAAAAAAAGAATTCTCTGATGAAGTGCAAGGCTGGAACCCTAGCCACTGAGCTACAGACGCCAAGCCTCTCTAGTGTGCTTTCTTATGATCTCTAAGGAATATTTTCCATCTGAAGGCCTTGCCACACTCATTACACTTGTAAAGTTTATCTCTCGTATGTGTTTTCTGATGAAATCTAAGTGATTTCCTCTCTCTGAAGGCCTTGTCACATTCATTACACTTGAAATGTTTCTCTCCAGTGTGTGTTTTCTTTTCCTTTCTTTTTTTTTTTTTTGAGACAGAGCCTTAAGCTGTCCCCCTGGGTAGAGTGCTGTGGCATCACAGCTCACAGCAACCTCAACTCCTGGGCTCAAGCGAGTCTCTTGCCTCAGCCTCCCAAGTAGCTGGGACTACAGGC